GAAAAAAAAATCATAAGGGACAAAAACATAAAGCAGAGATTAATAACATTACAGACAATAGTCAATAACGGTAATGAGGTTCTGCTCCTCTGTGATTGTGATTGTAGTTTGACTTTTGCATTAAGGCTTATCAAGGCTTTTTTCAAACCGTAATCTTTGATTTTAATCCGCAGGGAGATGAGGAGGCTAGGTTGGGATTACCCATCAGCCCCTTCATGGACCGCTCCTCTCCGCAGCTTGCAAAGCTACAGGAGTCCTTCATCACTCATATCGTAGGACCACTGTGTAACTCCTACGATGCTGCTGGCCTACTTCCTGGCCACTGGATTAACGAAGAGGGATCAGATGAAGACGACGAAGAGGGGCAGGTGGACACGGACACAGATGAAGAGGAAGATGAAGACGAAGAGCTAGAGGATGAGCTGGCACCAAGTAAGACACAGACAACTCATCAGCACTGTAAAGTGTATCACGCACAACAGATTACAGGTAGCCAGTGTAGATTTTCTGAAACATTTTTCTTTTTCCGTTACAGAAAGGAGGAAGAGCCGCCGCAGGCTGTTCTGCTGCATCATGCAGCACCTGACGGAGAACCACAAGGTGTGGAAGAAGACCATCGAGGAGGAGGAGAAGAGCAAAGAGCTCAGCAAGCAGCAGCAGCAGCCCGACAGCCTGCTCCCCAACCTGCCGGCCAGTCTGCCCACCTCCCCGTCTGATGACATCCAGGTCATCCAGGAGGAGGAGGAGGGAGAGGAACGTCAGTAGCAGGAGGACGAAGGAAAGAACAGAGATACGTGAAAAAGAAGAAGAGGAGAGGCAGCATAAGGACATGAGTCCTGCTTTTCACCAACATAAAGACAGACACTCGCAGACAGTTGACAAATGCACATAAAACACACTTTGCTCCCCCCCCTCTCTCTCTCTCTCTCTCTCTCTCTCTCTCTCTCTCTTGCACACACAAACACACACACACACACACACACACACACACACACACACACATACACATATTGGAAGATTCACTGTGCAGACACTCAGATGCTTAAGCAGTCACATTGTTTTTGGAGAAACAAAAAGGCCTTACTACTGTGAGCGGATCCTTGCTGCAACGGTGGGAGCCCAACTCCTATGCACTTTCACCCCATGGAGAGTCGAGTGCACAAAAAAAAAAAAAAAGCACCAGGACTGAGGAGGAAGGTGCCGAAGAAGAGTGTGGACAGGGGTCCAGCATTAACTTGCCCTCCATGGTGACCTGGCTGTGATGCTGCCTTGAATGCCAAGCGCTTACATCTCCCTTAGGTACAAAACAATTTCCTGTCTATTTAAAATGAAAGGTAGAGGAAAAATAATGAAGCAAGCGACATCATGAAGTGATTGATACCCTTTACCAAAGTGAACAGTTCAAACATGGAAAGACAAGAGACTGAGACTGTTCCAGCCTCAATGTCAGGTATATTTTTGAATTATATATATATACATATATATATCAAATGTGCCTGTCTGAACCTTTACTGAGTCCATATTGGCCCAGAGCCTAGGCTTGTGTAGTTCTCTCTCCTTGCTGGCGACACGAAACACTGTATCAGACTCAGTCACAGAGACATTGTTGAAATGTTGACTGATTAATAGCATTATATCTGCATCAATTTTGATGCTTTTACTCATGTGTACCACCCGTCTTTTATTTTTTTTATTTTATTCTTTAACTCTCCTTGCTTCATTTTGTTTGAGTGTGTGAATATTTTTTGGCGGGAATGTGATAGAGAGAATGAGTAGGGAGAACGAGAGCACATTTTTAATTATTTTAGTATGTAATTTGTGTGTATGTTTGTGTGTCCTCTCAGCAATGGTTGGTTTCTAATCAGTGAAATGTCCTCATGTTGCATTCAGATCAGGAATGCTGTTTCAATGAATGGATTCTTCATTTTTTTTCATTTTCTTGATTCTAAGTATTTTTTTAAAGGTTACTCAGGATTCACGCAAAGTTGAATAATTATTTTGCAAGAATTTATGTCATTAATATGAAATACACTTTAAAGACTAAGAAAATTAAAATCTGGGTGACTGAAGTAGTTTGTAATCTCTTAATGAACAACTTGACTACAAACAAATTCAAGCAATTGAAATCCTCTGTGACAGAGGAGCATACAGTATGTGCTGTCTCTTGGCCATTCGTACACTGTTTGCATAACCTTTTTACAACCTCACTGGAGAAAATCATATCTTGATATGCAGGCATTCAGCAGTCAGCAGACTGCAAATGTCTCTCCTGCAGCAACACAATACATTGTACAATTTTGCAGTTCTATAACAGTATCTTAGGTAATGTTTTTTTTAAATTTCAAAGTTCTCTGTATTGCTTTTAAACAACAGTACAACGTCTATTCGTCTGTGTCTCAGTCAGCAGACAAACACTGATGTTTAGACAAATTGAAGCTCACCCAACTCCTTTTCCTCATTTTTTGTTTTGTTTTTGCCAAACCCATAACTCGGCCAGTGTGTAAAGAAGGGATCCAGGGTTTATTTTCACTTTAGTTATATATATATATGTATACATATATACATATATAAATGACATGCCACGAGGCAGGTTAAAAACTACTAGTTCTCTATTTTTGTCTCTAAGAACTCTTGGCATTCCACTAGAATAAGACGTTTTATGAAACGGAAGGCAGAATTGTTGCCTAGCTCCTTTATCACCTTATTAAATCAAACTCTCTGGAGAAAATGTTAAGTAAGCAGTGTAAATCAACATAGTAATATTTAAAGACAAAAAAATAGATACAGGTGTGCACATTTTAATACCAAACGAGTGTTTAGCCGCTGTACAAAAGAGTATGTGCATATAAATATATATTTTTTAAATAATCAAATGAATGCATCTGTTTTCTACACACAGCTGACATATTGTACATGAGATCCTGTAATTACCATTGTGTTTCCAGAGTTTTTATCTACTTCTATTTACAGGTGTGGAACTGGGGTTTGGTGTTTTGATTTTGATTTTTTCACTTGGTTTCAGCCTCTCCCTGTTCTGTATCATAACCACTCTTGTATTCTTCATTATCTCTCTCTATCACTGTCGTCTCAGTCAACCCAACTAGTGCCAAACTTTACCTACGTACAGTAGTTTGTGGGCTGTGATATGCTGATTGGCAAACTTTCTCTGGGCTCCAGTACTGTTCATGCAAGAGAAACACCCCTTGAGTCAAATATTCCACGAGGCTCAACGTGGCAGTGACAGTGGCAGTGGCAAGAGTCAGAGTTGGACTCAGGTCAGAGCCATATACATTCTGACAACTCTGTCATCAGTTATTTCACATGGACCCATGCTGGATCATAAAGCCCTGGTAGCTCCCGACCCTATTCTGGCTCATTAAGTTGTAAAAGTTTGTTGGCTTCTCACTGTGCAGTCTTTCAAACCACAGTGTCCTCTGATGATTGTGCCATAAATACATCTATGAATGGTTGTTATGTAGCATCAATATACGTACGTTTGTCTAATGTAACCATTCACCCTTATCTACATTGTTGGGGCAACTGATTTTGTTGTTATTTATAGCTGTCATAAAACACCATCCCTAAAGTATCACAAGTTCTCATTGATTTTTATTGGTGTGTGTGTGTGTGTGTGTGTGTGTGTGTGTGTGTGTGTGTGTGTGTGTGTGTGTGTGTGTGTGTGTGTGTGTGTGTGTGTGTGTGTGTGTGTGTGTGTGTGTGTGTGTGTGAACGCACAATGTACTATATATAACTCTGCCTTCTTTTTTTGTCCATGCTACCTTAAACAACCTTTAAAGTCCCTAAACACACCCATTGTACAGCCACACAGGGGTTTTCACTTATAGGTCGGATAAGTCATCCTCTCAGGACAATGTGGGTGTGTACAAACTGTGTTTGATTGACATCTCCCTCACTCTTGGTTATGTTGCACTTCTGGGACAACTTAAACCCCTTATTGTTTATATTCGGGCATGATACCCTACATAGCCACCCAACTTCAACCTGAGCAGAGGTCTAATCAGCCATAGTAACTGACCTGTGTGGGTGTGCAGAGCCTTTAAAACTGATATTCTAAGTATTTTTTGTATTAAAAAAGGATCATATGAGTATGTTTAATATAAAAAAGATCACTCCTAATGACAAACTCACAGAGAATTTCAACCAATTCTGCAGTTCCCCTCAGAAATATCAGACAGTGTTTCAGCATCTTTCAGCTCATTGTTTTATGGCCCACTACTTTACTGTTTTGGTTCACTCATACCACACTCACCTGCATCATTTTTGGCTCAAGCAGGAACCTTATTTTAGCAAAAAAGTTAACTAAATGGCAGACAGACAAAATTAGCGACTATCTAGTGAACAAAGTCATTTAGCAGCTGAAGAGCTAAATATTTTGGGAGTTAGAGGAAAGAAAATTGAGCTAAAAGGAGAATAAATATTAAACTTAGATTCACCAAGTCACCTGAAACATGCCTCCAAATTGATGTTTTCTGTGTCTGCTCAATTGTGAATAGGCCAGTGTGTTTGTTAACTCCCATAAGATTCTGTGTCAGTGTGTTTACTGCTTGATGCTCAGCCCCCAAGTGGACAGAAAAAACAAAAAAAATGAATGCAGGATCAAGCATTGTTTGCTTAAAAGAACTGAAAACACTGTCTGCTCACCATATCATGAATCACTGTATATAGAGCACACAATGTAATGTCAATGCATTTCTCTGCTAAGAGCAAAGCAGTGCAAAGACAGGAGAGGTACGCTCAGAACTGGGGTGAAACATAGTTGCCTTTTACTCACATGAACAAACTGTTTATGGATTTATAATAATTCATGATTTTTAGGCTATGTCCTATTGAAATTATTCTTCATTCATTCATTAATTCATTATTGAATGAGGTAATCTAGGGGATAATCTTAATATATGGGTAGTATATGAGGATTTCTTTCATAGGTGGGTTTTAGCAATTTAACAGTAGGTAAAAAAAGACAGGGCGAGTTTTCAATATCTTTTTACAAAGACTTTTATGAATACACAAAAAAACCTAACACTACAAATATTGCAAAAAAGGTACAAACAAACAAACAAACGTTAACCTCGAATGTAAATGTAGTACATTCTCAGTACTGATGAGCACCATTTAGCGGAAATCAGTGTTGCATAGTACTTTTCTAGAAATCTACCAGGGTTGCATTTGCTTTCCAAGAGACAGATGTTTCATGGAGCTCTTTCCCAGGAGAAGGGGTCAGAGTCAGTCCAGATGATGTGGATCTTGGCCCATGTCCAGCTCCAATACACAGAGTTCAGAACTTTCTTGGAAAGTCCAATTTTCCCCCTACACATACAGTTCAGTGGTGTCATTTGTGTGACCTGAAGCTGTCCTGAGAAGTCAGGGCTATGAACCATCATAGGTGTACTTACTATGAATCATTGACATATACCTAACCCATCGCTACCGCACCAAGGTTCATAGACATTTCATTGTCTGGGCTCAGAGCAACTCTGAGCTACAGAGAGCTAAATCATTAGCACACTTGTGTTCCCAGGATGTCCTTTCAGAGCAGAGTCTTTTGTCTCCCTTGCAGCTGAAAAGGATTGTGCAAACATGCATATTGCTCAGTACAAAACTGGATACTAACTGAATAAACTGGATCACATGTCCATATGTAAAGAGCTTATTTTACCACTGAAAGACCGTTGGAAAAACTGTACTGCACCAGAACTGGACATAACAATCCAAACTAATACAGTTTTATGCACCGGTATCATGTGGTGTATCACATGTGCAAAATATAAAAATTCTGGCTCAAACAAGCTGTAATAAATACTTGCTTGCCTACTTGTCATAAGGAGTGTTTGAGGAGGGACTTTTCTGTTGCCTGCGGACCGCACAGATGGAGTAAGGTTTGGGCTGTAAGGTCATACCCAGTTTGGGAGTGACAGTGGGAACAGTTCCTGGAGGGAATTGAAGATGAAACCTCTGCAACAAAGTGGTGAAAAAGAGGAACATCTCCATCTTGGCCAGCTGTTCGCCCAGACACTGACGCCTCCCTGAAAAAGAGAAAATTCTTTGTTTTAGGCTCTGATGTGCACAGGCACATCTGGCTAATTTAATTCCTAAGAAATACAAGCAAAGACATTTGAATATAAAAAGAAATTGGTTTAACTGAGGATTGTCAGTGCTGGAAATGTAAAAAAAACAAACACACAATGGGAATGTCCTGTAACAAAGACTATATGAGAACAGGAGATAATGCACATTGCACATTTATACATTGTATGGATGCTGTAACCAGTGTGGCAAATTAACTGTGAAAATCTAATTTAAAAAAAACTAAATTCCATGGCTATGGAAAAGCAAAAATGTTATCTATATATTCTCAACGAAAGAGAACAATAACCTGGTCTGAACACATCTACATGCCAATATTCAGTCATAGTCATAGGGCCACCTACTGGCAACAGAAAGTGCTGTTTTATACTTTTATGTGCTCCAGGAGTTTGACCAGGCCTTGTGTAGCAATCATCATCTAATTTACATGATTATTTTTACAGTGTGATTTAAGGGGGGAAGTAGACAGCACTTTTATGTTTCTGTTGATGGCTTGGCAGCATCTGATTCTGGGGTTGCCACTGACCAGAGACACTGGTCTCTGTCTCTGTATACTATAAATAGTATGTTTTCACTGATCTAAGAGCCTAAAGTAATCCAGGGAATACTCTAGATTTTTAAATATGATTTATGAAACAGTTTGTGAACAAAGCCACTGACCGGTGACTCGTTAGTGACTACAGCCATAATAATTTGGATCAAGAGTGTTGGAATTGAAGAGAACCATGAAGAGACTAACCCAAAGAGAACGGCAGGAAGGCCTCACGCCTCACAAAGTTGCCATTGCTGTCCAGAAACCTCTGTGGTGAGAAAACTCCTGGATCGTTCCAGTACTTCTCATCAAAGTGCACTGAGTAGAGGTTCGTGATCACCATGGTGCCTTTAGGAATTGTGTACCCGTTGACATTTGCATCCTGGGAGGTGGCACGGAAAATACCAAGTGGGACAATGTTGCAGAAGCGAAGGACCTCGTGCAGGACAGCCTCCACATACGGCATCTTCTGTTTGTCCTCCAAAGTAGGCGCCCTCCCGTTGGCCAGCACGCTGTCGATCTCCCTGTGCACCCTCTCTTTGTAGGGTAAAACAGACACCATCAGGCATTTATTCATGCATAACATTACATAACCATTCAATTTAGAGCAGACTCCATCTACAAACAGATGCGCATCAAATCTCTCTTGGGGTCATATTAGAAGTAAAATGTTCTATAACTGACCTTGTATGTTGGGGTAGAGGGCCATGTACAGCATGGCCCAGCGCAGGGTGTTAGTAGTAGTCTCTGTGCCAGCAATTATGAGCTCACCCACTGAATAGATGAGGTTCTCATAGGAAAAAGAGGAACTGGGGTCTCCTGCGTTCTGCTCCAACTCATCCAAATAGGCATCGACATAGTGGCGAGGTACATGTGGCACCCTGCCCTGTGAAAAACCATTTATAACCTCCAGTAGGAAGTCATACACCTCAGCAGCATTGCGGAACAGCTTCTGGTGTTTTCCAAAGGGCACATACTCAATCCAAGGGAAGGCATTGTAGAGGAGGGCCCAGCCGCTCACCGCTAGCTCTACATTCTCACTGAAAATCTCAATCATGTGCTGGAAGTTGCGGTCGTCATAAGTAAAACGCTGCCCAAAAATGATCAGGTTGGTGATGTTGGACACAGCGTTAGTCACTAGGTGTTTGGGATTGAAAGGCTTTCCTTTGTGTTCGTCAATGGCATCGACAAAGAACATACACTCTTCTGAGATCTTCCTCTCGAACTGTCTCTGGCCACTGCCGAAGTAACGGAAAGAGTTGCAAGCCAGTTTACGGTGTTCAATCCAGCCTCTGCCATATTTGCAATTGAGAAGTCCTTTGAATGTAAAACAGAAGAGATGAGTCATTTATCATTTCAAATGCAATTTAATTCAGACACTCTTGTGCAAAGTATGCATTGCAAACTTATCACAGCATCTTACCACCCATTTTGGTCATTTTTTTGAATAAAGGCAGCGACGGGCGGTCAGCAAACACCTCGCTCTGATGGTAAAGGCATTCCCTGACACAGTCGTATCCATTTAATACCACGGTCAAGATGCCTCCCAGGTCAATACTGAAAATCTGAAAGATACACATTGCAACATGGGCACTGGACACCTTTTGTTCTCTGCACACGTTTAATTCAAAAGAATGCCTTATAGTCAAGGAATGAGGAGATTGCAGACACATTGCAGCAGAAGGATGAGTTAAACATGAACTGGATAGTGTTTGAAGGAATCTCTCCATCTAAAGAGATATCCAGCTCTGCACCTAAGTTATGTTAAACTTTAAAAAGTGCAAGTCACTAACAGGAAATGTGTGTCCTTGTATGAATGCATTTGGAGGAGGCTTATATGTTTCCCTGATTTGCCAGTTATTCTCCTCCAAGCAAACGCTGCAGACCGCCAAATGTTAGGGCGAGTCTCTTTTGTTCGCTTCTACTTCCTAGTGTGTGTGTGTGTGTGTGTGTGTGTGTGTGTGTGTGTGTGTGTGTGTGTTTGTGTGAAAGAGAGAGAGAGACAGAGAGAGAGAGTGCAAGTGTGTATGTGTGTGTGTGCATGTGTGTGTGTGTCATGAAAGCCTGAAACCTCTTAGGGTCATGCGCTGCACAGTCTGCAGATCACTCAGTTTTGACTCAAAAGAAAAGCATTGCAGAGTCCGAGTCATTACCTGTCCATGAACTTCACTCTGTGTCTTGAGGAAGACGTGCGGCTCGGTGGCTAGAGACAGAATGTTCCCTATCACAGGGATGGGAGATGGACCAGGAGGAAAGCCCGGGGGTCGTCTCTGCTTGACGAGCTGGCGAACCAACAGGAAAGCGAGCAGGACGACAGTCAAGCAGCCCACACTAAGCAGAGCCTGTTCGCGGGACACCGACACCAGAGAAGGCGATTTAATTGAAACCATCTTTTCCAAAAAATCTGTCCTCCCTGCTAGACTACCTCGGCTGACTTCGGCTTCTCCTCAGAGTAACTGAAGCACATATGTAATGTATCATCTTGCACATTTTCTATCCCCCGCCTCTAAAGCTAAGATTGGCCAGACACTCAGAGTCAACTGTGGGTGAACTTTGTTCTGCTCCTGATCAATAATCCGGATCATTTATCTTGAGTTTTTTTTTTTTTTTTTTTGGCTGCTTTTAATGGACCTACAGAAGTGGAAGCAGACCCTAAAAAAATCACGCTGCAGTTCATCAAACCCCTTATTAAAGTTGTTTAAAAAAAATAATAAAATAAAATGCTGAGTCATTAAAATTGCAGAAATGTTCTGCTCTTTTTCTGTTAAAAATGTTGTTTGGCACAAACAAGCGTGCGAACCAGCGCTTTGACGCACAGACAGAAATTGGCATCAAACAATTATGTAAATATGGTAAATCTAATATATCATATTGCATATTGTAGGGGAGACTGAGGTGGATTGAACTGATGGGCACATGAGACACCCATTGTTTCAAGGAAATCTAACCCTAACCCATAAACACATGTGCACACAGTTTGGAAGCATCTTTCCTAGTAGAGAGGTACATGGAATATAATGTTGAACATCTGGGCTCAAAAACAGGTTTTGTGTATTTTAAGTGAATATTAAATGCTGCTGCCTGTAAACCAAGGTTACCAAGAATAAAACTAAACATTATGAGGTAGTTTCAATTCAGTTCCAGTTCAATTCCATGTTAAAGCAAAGGAACAATTGCTGTTTAGTCAACATCAGTGTATTTCCTATGATGTAAGCTACCAAGGCTTCTTTTATTCTTTTAGTTTTACTGGATGAAATTAAAGTGAAGTGGGTTCTGATTAATTTCTCTTCCAGTCTTTGTAACAGTTAAAGACGCTAAAAATAAAAAATAAACATTTCACAATTTTCTATGTACATTTTTATATATATAGCCAAAAAATTGCACTCTGGGCCCAAAAGTTCAATATGTTCTTTAGGTAGCTGGCTAAAAAAGCTTTTGGATAAGCTCTTGACACAGTTTTCTGATGTTTGAGTTTAGTATTTCTGGGAAGCAAAGCTGGGGCATTATGCCATTGGCTAAATCAAGATGTCAGAACTAAAATTAACTCTGAATGAAGAAGACAGAGCAGAGATTGAAATATATAGAAGAAATGAGAGGGAGGAAAAACAACAGTAAGGACTTCTCGGGCTGGTGGTTGGTGGGATAGCTGATTTACTTAGTTACATGGTATGACTGCTGAAGATGGAATATCAGCATGCTAGCTAACTAGCAGCATGCATGGTAAAACTGGACCCCCAATTCTGAAAAGTTGAATATTAAAACCATGAATTCATAACTAACATTAGGTAAGCTACCAATAATAGATTCCCTCCCTCATGTCATGTGTGATGACTGTGTTTCATCTATGTAGTCAAAGTAACTAACTTTGGTTGAAACTGATCATATTTCAATACAGCCTTGTGTATTCTAATGTAATTTCTAGTTATTACTTGACATCAGCTGAGTAAAAAACACACATTTTTTAAAATGATCGCTGAACTGTTTTTTTAGACTGAAATTTTCTAAAGGGATGCATCAAATTCAACAACCAAAAAAAAAAAAAATCATAGAGCCTCTTTTGTGTGTAACAATTGAATCCACTGAGATAATTGAAAAGTCCTGGTGAAGCACATTTTTGTGTTACCCTGTTTTGTTTTTAAGCAAATAAACTTTGCCCCAGTAAGCTGCTGTAGGTTCCTTCCCCTCCGTATGTTAAAGGTTAGGCCTTGCTTCAAATTCAGAGGTTAAAGGTTAAGGCATGGACCGCATTCCAATCTTGCATAGTGTGAGATTTTTCAAGCTTGTCGGCTAAAACCTGAACGCGTCCAGACAGAGCGTGTATATGGATGTTTTATCAATTTTTAATGCACGTATGAGACTGTAGGAAAGTGCTTGTTTTATAGCAAAAAAAAAAATCACACAAATCAGTAAACACACACTTGACAAAATCTTTCAAATTATCCCTTTTTACCTGCAATTTTCCTATGATCTAGAAGTGCAGAATGGAAAGAGCTTGAAGGGGTTAACCTAGGTAAATATTAATAGGGTTTTAAACTACAAACAGTTTCCACTTTTGTAAAACCATGCTCTCCACTTTGCTGTGTGATCAGTTCATCATGACTGACTCCTCATTAGACATGAAGTTGTTTATCTAGACGTTCCTTCCTGCTGGGGCAGCTGGTAAGCTGTTTTTCTTAGATGCCTCAAATGGCCTCTACAGACCTCTCCCAATCATTCAGATTTGTTAGGGCTACATAATGAGGACATTCTTGCAAATTATTTCTTTGCTTCCTGCCAGCTCCACGAACTCAAAGGGAAGCAGTATTCTGGAAGCGTTAAACACATCTGTCAGATTTAATCAAATAAAAATGTTCTCACTGTTGCATTATCTTGTTACTGGTTGGGTTAATCAAAACACCAGCGACAAGTGTGTCCAGGTGGTTAACATGGACCATATTTTGCAACTGTGATGATTCACAAAAAACAGAAGCAGAGTTAGGAGTTAAGAGCAGCATCAAAAATATTTGATATAATCATGGCTGCTAATAAAGGTCCAGTGTGGTGTAATGATTTTAATGGTGTAGTTGCAGATTGCAAACTATGGTGGCCGCAAAATGCAAATTCAAGTGTCCCTATCTAGAGCCAATGTTTGGTTTATCCCTTCTGGGCTACTGTAGAAATGTGGCCGTTCTGAGGTCACAAAAAACATAACAGTTCTTCTACTCAGTGATTACACACTAATGAAAACCTAGTTATGCATATTATATGCCATTTCTGCCAATAGATTGATATAAATGTTACACACTAGTCCTTTAAGAGGCAATTTTAAAGAAGAGTTTAACACATTTGTTCTGTAAATCAACAGAGAATGTCAAGGATACACAAGTGTAACATAAGGACAGAAATGTTTTTCCCAGTTGAAACAGCTGAAAGCCTTATAATGACATTAGTTTTCACTGGAGGGCATAAATATTATCAGGTCTATCCAGTGGTAGGAGTTAGCAATATGGATTGACATGTACTTAAATATACATATACATTATATTTTCACTTTCTTAAAGAGAACTCACTTACACATGAAGTTTACTTGTCTTGAGTCGTTCTACTCACCCTGTGAAAAAAGTTGTATAATGTCTTCTGTGGTTCTGGAGGGAGCTTTCCAAAATTTTGAAAATAACCCTGACGATGTCATCATGGGGTAGACCTGCTGTTCCTTCATGTCGAAAAGAGCCTGTAGAGGTGATTTTGGCATTTTACCTCTTGGGTGCCCTACTTTGTAGGTTTTCTGGTAGGAGACTCCGGGGTAGACCGAGAACAAGATGAAGAGATTATATTACTCATCTGGTTTGGGAGTGCCTCGGGACCCCCTTAGAAGGAGCTGGAAAAAGTTGCTGGAGAGAGAGACATCTGGACTATTTTGCTAAGCCTGCTGCCACTGCAACCCGGCCCCAGATGAGTGGAAGAAAATGGAAGAACCACAATATAGCTGCAGTACCATCTAACTGAGAAAGTATCAATACATTAAACATCCAGGCAGAAATCTGCCAGGCTAATCAAGAAAATTAATTACCTGAAAAAATAAGGTATTTCATCACATTGATGCAAAAATCATATAATTTATTTGTTTTTGCAACATTATGCACAATGGCCCAACACTACCAAAGATATTAAAGGAATAGCTACCACCATACAAATGGTATGGAAAAAGTCTATATTGCCTTATAGTTATATTGCTCAACCCTATTCTGGGGTAATTTTATTCCTGTCCTGATCAATGTATGGGATTTGACGCAGTTGTGTGCTAGAACAGCATCAGTCTTTACATTATGAGGCCATCGGAAGAGTGTTCTTCCTGTTTCACTATAGGGCACATGTGGCATGTTCGATTGGGTGGGTCCCTTGACTACTGCGGTTCTACAGTAAATTATTTACCATCCGGATGACTGGAATTATCAAGTGGATGGGGAAAATTTAATTACCGACCTTCCCTGGTAATACTAATGCTGGCCAGAACCTCTTTTTCCTAACAACATAATGACAGCGGCACGAATATCAAGAGGTTGTGTAATCCCTCTGCAACTACTGGCCAGGTGTTTAAATGTTAGGTAAGGTTAGGTTAGCTTTCTAATGGAGAGCAGCAGGTGTAAGTCCCTTTGCTAATGGATACTTCACTTCACGTTTATAATTCCATGAGCCTCAATGGTAATTTTATGTTCTTTTTGAAGCCAGAAACCAATCAGTAAACGGTTTTCAGGCACTTTACATCCATTAGGGGTTTTCCACACAGTTGCCCTACATTGCTGTTTGTTCTCATCATTGCCCTGTATTGTCAACTGTCATCATTTCTCCTTTTTTTGACCAATTCTAATGTAAGTTCAGAGGTCATTTAGACAATTGCTTTATTTTCACACTTAATCCTTTAAGACTGAACCAAATTACTTAGCCCCGAAACTTCTATCCTACTGTTTGTGTCTATCACCATGTAGATTTTTTGAGGGGGGCTCTTAATCTTATCAAAACATGTATATTAGGTCAATTTCTCCAGTCAGTGCCCGTAGGCAATGGCTTAGATCTGGAGTTGGTCCCTGGGTGCTGTACAGTGGCTGATCACTGCTCCTAGTCCTTAGGATAGGTTAAATGCAGAGGATAACTGTCACTGTGTGTTGTACTGTGTATGATTGTATATGTGATGGTAAAGTTGATTCTATTCTATTATGTTCTAACTTAACAGGGTTTGACGGGTCAGAAACCTACTTGCCCTAAGTTTTACATGCCCCTATAAAACATGTTTTATTTATTAGCAGTCACTAAATATAAAGACTTAATTAATTGTCATGTTTAATATTTATTTAAACATACAATACTTCACGTTTTTAACTGGTTTTGAAACTGGTTGAGTCAATTTAATGCCTGCCACCAATTTAGTCGGATTCTCCTCAAAATCAATGATACAAGGTGGTGGAAACACTACCGCTTTTGTCCACAGGGGCCACCAGAATCAATACAAAATAAAAGTTCCTTGTAGCTGCTTTAAATAAATGAATCAGAAACAAATTACATTAAATACAAAGTTTTGCTCAGATAATGAAACCCAACTTAACTCCTGTTTTCTAGGATAACTGAAATGCTCAGCTCATAAACTTTGTATTTACCCACTGCCATTTTCTCACCAGTGCTTGATTGGTAAAGCACATGTGCAACCCTCAACGGAGATGAGTAGGAAGCGAGAGATGGCTCATGAATCTGCTTGTGGGAGTTGAGTGGTGAGGCATTCCTGTAGATCAGGTAGCACGGTGCTATTTTGGTACTCAGTTTTGCGTGAAACTGGACTTGCGTTTCTGCCTTAGACAACTTCTTTTCCCAAACACAATTTTAAAATGTAAAAAAAACTTGTAAAAAGTGTCACAAAAAAGAGGCCTTTACTTTCTCTCTTACTACAAATTTTCTGGGATTCTCTTCCTCTCTTATTAAAGCACTGTCTACGATTTTTTTTATTTCCAACTGACTCGATAATTGCTTACTATGTCAAGACATATTTAAGGTCCCTTCTGTGCTAATTGCCTCTGTTCAATCAAGCCTCAAAAGGGGAATTTTTTCTTTCCTCAATAGTCATAACTTAAACATTACTGCACTGTGAGTTCATTCCAGCCGGTTATCAACTTTTGCTGCCTATTCGAATAATGCAAGGTGTTGATGAGAGACCTTGAATTATATTTTCTTTGGGTTTTTTTTTTTTTTTAGCAGTGTCCCAGCCAAGAATGGTGCTGCTTCTCTTTGGAAGAAGACACATTCACACTGACTTAGCTGAGACTGTCACTGATGAGCACTGCAGTGAGCATAACGCTGCCCCCTCTGTCATGAATGCTCTCCTGTGTTGTAATTAATTTTCCAGGCCAATTCATGCCTAACATTAGGGGATGTGAACAGCGTGAGCTAATTGCATTCTTGACAATACACTTTCCCCCTTGGAATGTAATTTCTGTGTCTCAGCTGATGTCCCTGGTCAGAGCAGGCAGTGGTGAATCAAAGCCTGGGAGCAGCTTGAGTCCAAAACAGTACTGAGTAGTTACTTTTACACAGACAAGTGGATTTTGACTTGTTAAATGTGGCACTAGTCATGGAGGAAGAGACATCCTTCTTATCTGGGTTAGACGTGGTTCTGTTGACCCTTAGCTTTAATACATTTTGGACATTGTAAGAAAGATTGTTGACACTCACATCTGAAATATCTGTAATATAAATGTAAATTTCTGTTTTAGAAGGTACTTGAATTAGATCAAGACAATTAACACGAGTCATTATGTGTGTATATTTTAGTCCAAGTCTTTTGTTCTCCATGAGCATTTTCTGATATCACATGACATACATATATATCATGAAGCTTTTAAAGACTTTATTATTATTATTTATTAATTTATTGCCTGTGGTATGCAGCCCGCAGGTCTGCTCAGTAGCACCAAAGGGCTCATCCACACTAACGAGTTTCCTTGTGATGCAAAACATAACTGGGAGGCAGGATGCTTTGTAATGCATCATTCAATATTGTTACATAAGGGGAATTAGAAGATGGCCAGAGACCAACTGCCCTGTAATTAGATCGGAGAAACCGGATGTACACTGCTAAATTGTGTGGGAAGGTTTAGTTTATGTACAGGGAGAGCTCACTGTGATGCTATTCACATGTAAGTTTCAGTGATCTGATCTTTAGATTGAAGTTGAAGACAAAATAATTTATTGGTATTTACTAAATTGTTCAGCAGTGTTTAATGGGGCAATATTATATTGAAACATGTGAGGGAGCAGCCGGGTACAATTGGACCTGTATATTATTTGGCTGTACATGGATTATTGATGAGCATTACAGTGCCACAGTGTTGTTGATTCAGTTCTGGATTTTTTAGGCTGTATTTTGGTGTTATTTTACTCATTTCTGTGGTGTGTCAGAACAGCTTTTTCCTTAATGAGAACTTTGTCTTCACTTGGCTTTTGACACCGTTCCTATTGCCACACAGAAACTTTTAAACAATTTAAACTTCTTAAACATATTAAATAAGTGAGTGCAACAGACTGTTTTGGGGAAACCTTATTAAATTTACTTTTTGAACTACTTTTTCTTTTTCAATTTTAACTCATTGCTAACTGGTACTATTTAATCTAATGAAATACGACTCACTTGTTAACATGTACTGTCTTAATTAATGGGATGAAATCTTGTTTCTTCATCTGCTCTGTGACTAAAAGTAGATATTAGGAACCCATGCCTCTCACTGGCAGCAGCCCTGTTCATCTTAGCCACTTAAAGATGAAATGGCACCACATTAAAAATTATCTTGACATATGTTAACAGAAGCACGGATGAACTATGTTTGAATCATCTGACTATCATAATTATATGTCCTGTAATATCAGGGAATGTACATTAGGTGGGTCCACATGCACATACTATACCATATTAGTTCTCAAGAACATGAGACACTGAGATTTTTATATATTGAAATTTTTTATTGTTAGTCACACTTACCCTGCTTAAAGATTTACTTCACTACCAACTAATTCAGTCGCTTTTTGTGAATTAAACACATTCTTTGATGTAATTTGTGTACAAGCTCTTTTATTGGCTCGCTGTAAGTGACGTAGGACTTCTGATTTGGCACTAGTTTGAGGGAAAACGTTTGATTGGCCAATAGACTATAGACTACTAATATAGAAATCCTTGGGGTATATATATAAAACCCTGTACTGTGTGGAGCGTTCAGCAGATTCACAAGTGAGTCTATCATTTCATTCTTCATTATCAGAAGACCTAATATCATACGGTGAGTATAGATAAAAGACTGCTTTTTTAGTTGATGGAAATGATGCTGTTAGTGTTAAATATCAGATTTGATGATGTGGGTTTTGGGGAAGGTGAGGACGGAGTCGACTGGGTAGCCAACTATACTGGTGTATACGGGTTGCTTTGCTGGTTTGGTGACGTTATACTATCTATGATAGACTGAAGCTAAATCTGCTAATGGACAGAGCTGCTGTGTCAGTATATCACCAATAACTCTTCTATCTTCCTCTGCAAGTTCAGCTGCTCTAACAGTGAGGGTGTGAGAGAGAAAGAGAGAGTGAGAGAAAGAGAAAGAGTGAGAGAGAGAGAGAGAGAGAGAGAGAGAGAGAGAGAGAGAGAGAGAGAGAGAGAGGGAGAGAAAGGATTCACATAGTTTTGAATGTATGCAGTAGATGAGAAAGTCCATAAAATATATTTTTTATAGTTTATATATTTAGTTATTTATAGTTGACATATAATGTGTGGACAAAGGTCACACATAATGCCCTTTAAAAACTTTTTTTTTTGTATTGCCTTGTTTAATATTGTATGCATTTTCCACAGGGAATCATGATAATGCTGAAACTCTCGACTCTCCTTCTTGCCTACGCGCTGATCATTTGTCAGATGTATGTCTCACAGGCAGCTCCATCCAGGTAAGAGTTGTTATTATTCCTAAAAGTATAAAATATATTTTGTAAAAATATGATTGTATCTGACATTTTATATGTGTTAAGGTTATTTCTACTTTAAACCAGGCACTTGCATGTTAAGACCTTCACCACCAATTAATATAAAAATGAAGTTTACCTTCCTGTTAGATTTTAAAAGGAACAATTTAATCAGATTGTGTTAAGTTTGCCTTGCTTCTCTTACTGTTGTGTTTATGTTGGTTTTTAAAACCAATGTTGTGGTAGAACCAGAGAGAACCATTGTAATTCTAATTAAATGTGTATTTTCAGAACTAGTAAGGAGTCCATGTCAGATGGAGTTACACTGTCGAACGATGATGCGCAAAGGTTACTCAGAGCTATCAAGGAGTTCATGCAGATATCTTCAGATGAGCAAGACCATCAAGCAGCTGATGGAAACAGGTATGGCTTTCTTAGTATTAGTTCATTGTAATAATGACAATTTTCAAGTATCTATCTATCTATCTATCTATCTATCTATCTATCTATCTATCTATCTATCTATCTATCTATCTATCTATCTATCTATCTGTCTATCTGTCTGTCTGTCTGTCTGTCTGTCTGTCTATCAGTTAAAGAAGATATAACACACTTTTGTTTATAAGTCCCACAGCTTGAACTTTGGTGTTTATTAATTATCAAGGTATATAGTGAAATTCATGCATGCACTGCAGTTGTGCATTAACTCATCCATTCATGCACATATGATGTGATATGCCTGCAAGGGAGTGTCTTTGGTCAGAAAACTTTAGAAAGCATGATGTCGAAGAACGTGAGAAAACATGCATGACAGAAAATAAAACTTAACAATAGCATGACAACTCAATAACAATATTATCTTAATATGCCTGTCAGCATGCATTTGAAATGCTAATTTAACACAACCTTTTCTGTAAATGCATGACATTTCAGAAAAACATCATGCATGTAATTATTAATAATTATCTGCATGCTACGGTTATTATAAGCCTGTTTCTGCATGTTTGTCTCTGTCTCTAACAGCTTGGATAGACCCATGTCTAAGCGCTGCACCGGCTTAAGCACGTGTGTCCTGGGCAAACTCTCCCAGGATATTCACAAACTACATACCTATCCCCGCACCGACGTGGGAGCAGGGACGCCTGGCAAGAAGCGAAGTCTATCTGAGCAATATGATAACTACGGAAACTCATACAATTAAAACTTTCAGTTTTTAGCCCATCTAGTTGTCTGTCTGAGTTCATGTTTGCTTGTTCATCCAGCTCTATCCATTACCAAGACTGCTGATGCATGTGGAACATATTTGTCTGAATAACTTCAAGGAAACATCCTTGCTTTAGCTTTTCACTGACATTAGATTTATGAACTTACGAACAGCTACAAAAATTGCGTTACTAAAAAAATAAGAACAGATAAAAACCTCTCTACTGTTTAATTACTTTTCTCTTTGTAGTAATTGTGTTTCCCTTATAATAAATTCATATTTTACATGTAAGCTGTTCATTCATTCAAGATTACAAACATAATATTAAAGAAGAAAAGGGTAAGCATGGCTGTCTATAATGCACACACAATTACTGGAATATGTTGCCCTACGTATTTCCCCATTGTATTTCATTTGTTGTTGATAATGCTAGACAATATTGTTCAAAGTCTGTCTCATAAATGTCTGTTCTGATCTTGAGCCTCATAATAAACTGTGTTTCACTATGTTTTCCATTCTTACAAGTAATGCAACAGCACAGAAGCGGGCATGCAACACAGCCACCTGTGTAACCCACCGCTTGGCTGACTTCCTGAGCCGGTCAGGAGGACTGGGACACAGCAACTTTGTTCCCACCAACGTGGGTGCCCAGGCGTTTGGCAGACGGAAGCGGCACAGCCCTGTGTGAGCACCAGAGCAGATACAAGGTAAGTAAGCACTCAGTACTTTCACATGAGTATTATTGCTGGACTAATTGAAGCTTATACTGTAGATAAAGAACAAGAGAGACCCCATCCAGACATGTATATGACATGCATGTATACCGAAACTATAATGTGTGTCTGCTATATATATTGTTTGTTTTTTTTAATGCCTAAAAATGCATCTCCTTCTAACTCATTAGAATTCATAAATGTATGAATATGCATTTCTTTCTTTTTTTTTTACATTTTTTAATATGTTTTTTTACTTTACAAGATGTCTCCTACTTCTCAAATCCATTCTCAGTGTATGTGCACTGGCATATACACAGTTTCTACATCACAGTTGTATAAGTTACATACTGGACATCCTGGTAGACCCAGCAGTTCTAAGGAAATTTGCTCTCCATGTCCCTTTCTACCCATATTGTTTTTGTTTTTTTCCCTCTCTTTGGCTCTCTAGGAACAAGTGCCTCCTTTGAGTGACAAAACTTCATCATCGTCTATCTACAAACACTTCGAGAGCATATATTCTACACAAACATTGACAGATCTCTTGTTTTCAGACCACCACCAGAAAGTTGTCAGTATTCATTGTTAGTCTGTGCTTAAAAACTAGAAATAACTAGCGTCACCGTCATCATGGAAACATTTTGCAAAGAGGGATGAGAATGGATTTTTTTTCTGTCTTGGCCTGTAGCTCAACTGCACTTCTGACCTGTGTCTGCAGTACAGTGTGTCAAACTGGAAGTCTTATACTGTACGTCTGCACAACCAACAAAACCGACAATTGTGGCTGTCTTGTGCCTTGATGTAAAACACTTACATTTCGTTATAGTGCACAATGCAAGTGTGAAAAATGTACTTATGATTCTAAATATTGTAATAATTGTGAATTGAAAGCAGGAATAAATTGTATTTTAGATACATTGGCTTTCATGTCTTACTGTGTTTTTGTTTGATTGTGTGATGCACTGCAAACCATACTGAGCTTTCCAGCAGCACTATAGATACATTTAAAAAAGGTGCACAATAATGTGATATGAAAGGTATACTCTGAAAATCAACAATGTTATATATTACATTCACATTGCATTCACTACACATGACCATCTCCAAACATGATTAAAGAATATCTCTTTAATCACACATTTATGAAACTGGTATTGGATACTATTTTTAATGTGATACAATAGTAAGCGTTTCACTGACATTTGAACAGATTTTGCCCTCATGTGGTCACACTAAGTTATTACCTTTTCATTAGATATACAGCCTCTCTCAAGAGTAAGTGTCCTAAATGAGGGGTATGTTTAGCTTCTCCTGCAGAATCACATCATAATTTGGTTTCTAGTAAAGTTTTTATGCCGTCATCTACCCCCTATCTTCATCTGCTAAATAATAGTTTTTAAAAGCAGGTTATGAAAAAAAACAAAACAGTAAATAACAACCTATATTCCCTATGTTGTGATAGAGTAATTTTAATGGAAAATCTATTAAGGGGCTGTTTGTGGATAAACTATCCAGACTGAGATGTGTTTTTGGCTAATCCACCAAATGCCCAATGAATCAATTTTTATAAAATGTATAGAAATGTGACTATAGCCATAAAGTGGGCCTGCTCGCTGATTTGTAAAAGTGCCAACAATAGCCCAATACTCCAGGAGAGATGATATGGCAATTTCTCTGATGGTTGTCTTTGGTGATATCATCTCATGGTATCCATTGCCCAACCCCATTACCTATGTGCACACATTTTTTGCTGTAAATGCTAATTAAATAATTAATCATGCATTTACTATGTGTATACAGTAGTAGATAAGCATACCTATTTATTGTAGAATAACTGACAACCCCACAATTCAGCATTTCAAAAAGCCTGATGAAAACTATGTTTTATGAGAAGACTGAGTTCAACTAGTACTATACCAGGGGGCCCTGGAAGAGCTGAATCCTTGCTGCAGCGGCCATAGGTTCAAATCCATGTTCCTGGAAAATAAAGGTATATATATATATATATATATAAAAGGGCACTACACCAATTAAGCAATGCACTCCTTTAGCATTAGATTCACAATGAACAGTTGAAAAACAATTCAGCTGAACCAGAGATCTTTTTTTATCCTGTGCATTCATCTTCCTTGTGAAAACCAGGTGCCTACATCATTTGATCACGCCTGATTTCAGCCTTCAAGATCACCTTCATAACACTCTTCATGAAAAGAGTTGTTATCACAATGTACATCTGAGAGTTCATTTAAGCTATTATGTGATGCAATACTGACAAACTACATCAGGAGAAGATTGACATTTATTAAATGAGCTCAACGATCTCTAAAATATCCAGCTTGTGCCTTAGTTTGGTCACTATAAAAATGACTATTAACTGGCACACTGCATATCATTCCTTCATGCATTGTCCATTATGTTGAAACAAAGCTACATCTATAATACATCTTCTATGTATGCAGGAAACATCCTTTTGTTTTCTTGTGATAACGGGTTGATGAACTCGAGGTGATAAAGCTCATTTACTCAAGATAACAGGTCTGGTAACATCTTTTTAACACACATCCATTGACAGTATTTATAAGCACACATCCCCCAGATTGATTTGTCATATTCAGTCTTATTATTAGATATTAGATATGCAGTAGTGCTCTAGCCTGGGAACCATACTCATGATGTTTAATTTGCTCTGGCGGACTAGTAGTACTCCCAAACACCTGTAAAAACAGGTGTTTTTGTGTGAAATCGGTGGAATTGTCCTTTAACAGTCCAGGTAGGAGAGTGGGCGGGACTTCGGCTCTCTGTCGCACCAATTAAAGAAAATCAAGCCCTGTTGTTGCCTCAGCTGAGGAAGAAGAAAACAGAGTAATGGCCAATTAATCGCTTTTGGTTAAGCTTGTAACAGTGGTGAAAAGTTAGAAATGGCCCAACAGGCAGAAATATTTGGTCAATTCCCCTAAAAACGGACGTGGAAAAGCAAAAACACAACCAGCACCTGATGCTCTTAAGGAGGACATTAGCATGCAGTAGCATCCCGCAAACGGCACTTAGCTGTTAGCTTAATTAAGCTAGCTACCATCATTAAGTTGGTAAGCGCTAAATGTGTTAACACCGGCACAGAGAGACATTACTTCATGGGACAAAGGAACATAATAAGAGGCTTAACGTGGTTTTAAAAGGTGGCGGCTATGGATAAATTAGCTCGAACTTGAACTCAACAGATTAACTAACAGAAGAATGGCGCACTTGCAGTAACACACAGGAGGGAAGAGAGGAGGAGAGGAGGTGAGGAGCACAAAGAAGAGAGGAAGAGAGGAAGAGAGGAGGTGTAGGATAACCAGAGCCCAGGAGTTCACCTGAGCTGACTGACTGATGGTTAAAGTAAGTACTTGTTGTTGTTGTTGTTGTTGTTGTTGTTTTAAAACACTGCATTACTGTGCTGTCAACATGATGCTGAATGTTTGCACTGCTGTCTTGGTGTGTGTGTGTGTGTGTGTGTGTGTACACTGGTAAGATAGGTTATTATAACAAATTAAAGTTCAATTCCCCTTTTCCCTTTAAAATATTTTCTTCTAAGCTCATGGAAAACAAAAAATTTAAAAAAATATATAAATTGGAGTATAAGTGGATCCATGCTTTGAGCCTCAGTGTTGTCAGAAGTGTTTCCCCCTAAATCAGAGAGAGTTTAACTAAGAATACATAGAAAAATAAAATACACATGTTTTACATTCAGGTAATGCACCATCTGATTTCAGTATGTGGCACTTTGTATCCCACCAGTGGTCGTATCGTATTCTGACATTACCCTGGTCTTGATGTCTTGGAGTTGTTCGCTGCTGATGTAGCTGACCTCCAACCTGTTGACTATGAAGGTGTCCAGAGGTACTTGTGTTGCTGTGTTAGACAGAATTACTCTCTGATTACTCTGATTACAATATGCAAAGATCCCCATCTTGTTGATTAGCATGCAGGAAGAAGTTGGACTTTTGCTAAGTATAATTTATAGAGCAAGTCCTTCATACTTTCCATACAAAGTTGTTTGTTCTTATTTTATATATCTGTCCTAATTGGCCAAAAAACCAGCACATACACATATATGTACACATGCAAGCCACTGTAACTTTTTGTTTGAGGGACAGATTAGATGCTAGCTAAACGATAGCTTCGATAGTCGTCATTGAAATGTGTCTCTTTTTGGAAACCAGGAAAACTGCTTTGTCTGTCCAACATTTGAATTGCATAACTTGACTGTTATTCTCTGTGTGATAGAATGAATTTTTATCCGTTTCTGGCCATATTTTAAGTGTATAATCAACAGCAAACAACCTGAATAAGTTCAGAGTTTTGCTCTCTCTCAGTAACATATGTCTGGTATTGAGCCCTCCACTTTTACAATTCTTCTGTTGTAGCAACAGTTAGTCTGACCTTTTCCTGCAGAACAAAGGATATCCCCAGGAACCGTTTGTTATAGGCCTAACAGCCCCCTTGAGTATTGTCACTATTTCTCCAGAGTTCCTGTGTAACAGACCTTGAGCTTCATGGCTGCTCGTCTTTCCTAATTGACGTGCTTGTACTACCAGTTGTTTGACTCCATTCAGTGTCTCTCTAGTGAATATGCTTTTTATTTTGTTTCTGAACACTAAATAATTTGAATCAGATGTTGACAACTATACGGAGAAACTGTAAGATGGGCTGTCGAATAAGGTGGGACACATAAATGTTACATGTTAGGTGTGTCGTCTAGACAAACTCAGGACTCTTGATCCAGTGTGTAACATTTATCCTTCACGCTTGGAAGCGAGCGAGTTGCAATCTGCAACTACAACACTAGATGCAACTAAAGCCTACACACTGGTCCGTTGAAGGTGACAGCTAATGTTAGCTATGTTGTGGGTTTGCAAACTGCACAGCTTACATGCAGAGTCGAGTTTCCCAGAGCCAGCGCACCGGCTCCAGACATCGATGCTCACGAGGCTCCTGCTACTATTGCTAACATCACAACAACAGAAATACACTTTGTTTGTTTCCCATTTACAAAGCTAGCGCTGCGTACATCCAACAGACTGTTTTCATTGCACACAGCAGAAAGCTAGCAGACAGCGAGGACATGGATATTGGATTATAATAATAATAATAATAATAATAATAATAGTATACTTTACCTAGAATTACTTATCACACCTTTTATTTACCAGTAAACATAAACATGTAGTTGAACGCCAGCGAGCTAAGACACACGTCATGTCAACGCAGGATCCTTGATAGTAATCTGGTCTCAGACCTTGGTTACACTTTCCTTTCTTATCCAATTTGATCTTCAAAAAAAGAAAAAGTTTGAAGCCTAACCAAGAGACTTATTTAATAACAGTTAACTACAGAAGCAAAACAACTACTTAAATTCTCCCATTGCTGTGTGATTGCCAGTGCTTGATAGAAAGTAAATACTGTAAAAGCCAGCAGATACTTTAAAATATTTTTTTTTAAATATGCAGTTTAAAAGATGTTCTAAATATTGAAAAACAAACTTGGACGTGGCTGCGGTGGTTTAAACAAGTTCAAAAGAAGGATGTGTCTAAAATGTAAAACTCTTCTCTCCCGAGGGTTGACCAACAACACGTATCTCAGTTGATTAGACAGAGGACAATGGGGCTACTCTTGGATGTGAGCAGCCATGTGCACACTCCCAAACAGAGCTAATGAAGAAGATGGGAGACGGTGTTGGAGTTAGTTCACAGCCTCGGAGGAGCTGTTCGAGATGCCAGATCTCTTGAGTGTCTGGGGATGAGCATCTGTCACTTTCGCCTCATCACCATCTGGATGACAAACTGTGAGCCAGTTAGAGTGGCAATGTCTTACTTTTTTGTGCAGCACTAGATCACAGACATTTTGTGCGTGCCAACTGGTTGTTTGATACTCCTCTTTT